GATGGTTTCAAGACATGGTTAGTGAGCCATTTCAAAAGCAGGCAGGGAGCTAATGTTGCTGCTATTCCACAAGCTAATTAGACTTGAAAGCACAGTGTTTGTTAAAATATGGCAATATAAAAAGACGCTTATTGTGCACCTATATGGAGTCTGTTGACTTATATTCCTACTATCCACCAACAAACTATCCACAGCGAAAAGTCAAAATCGCAATGAAACAACCAAAGACAAACATGATTAGAATTCAAGTGAATAAGTAGATAATTGGAGAAAGTGTATAATTTAGCGAGCAAACGGATGAGTTTGAAATGTGGAGCCCAAATTCCAGGAATTTCTGGCTAGCTCTTGCTCACAATAACCCACGCAGAGTATTTTGTAGTTTGTCAACATGAAGAACATGGGACACTATTCATATCTCTATTTCATGTTATCTTGTACCCACAAAGCACATGGAGTGGGAGGGGGGGGGGAGAGGTGTTCAATTCAGCAGAGAGCAGGATTATAAATTTCAGTGAGTTTGAATCCTAATAATGAAATGGACAGCGGTGGACACAGCTGAATGACAAGATGAGCATCAGAAAACCAGCTCAGCCAGCAGACGGTCCAGTGGTAAATTAGGGAAGTGTCTTAGAGAAGACACTCGCATCAGTGAGAGCGAGGGTCCCGCAAGAGTTATGTCGGGAGGATGGAGCTGCGCTGTAATGGGCAGAGTGAGGGAAGGAGGGGAGAACAGCAGAGCTGCACTCAACAGGCAAGCTAACAGACACCTCTTGCTCCACCACCGTCAGTGTGGTTTAACTGGGCGCCCGCTGGGAGAGGTCCCATGTGTATATATGCATTAGAATGACATAAATTAAAACGGGCACGGCATGAGATGAGCTCGTGTGCAGGTCTTCCAGGAGCTGTCCCCGAGTATTGTGCCACCGTGCTGACTCCCGAACAGGCAGCACATAAGCTCCAGCCTATCAAATGATCCATCATTGCTATTTGGTGTGCTATTAAAGCATAGACAGCTTGAAGGCATTACATATCCATAGAGCCTAAACCATGGCCTGTCAGCATTCACAACTCACTACAAACCTTCATGTGGCATGTAATATAAAACCGTAGACACTTGAGAGGCTTTAATTTATTTGCTCTAGAAGCATTAGCTGCAGGGTTATACATCAAGCATTAACGAAGTCCGTTCTTACGCTCACTCCCTGTCTGTCTGCTATTCTACCACCGTATCTTATCCATATGATTACTATCACAGGGTAAGGGTAGCAAGCATAAAGTGAAGGTGCAGACAATGATTCATTTAGCTTTTACATTTGGTAAAACATTCCTATTTGAAACATTTGATTGTATACTCCACTGCATGGCTTGAATGATGCATCTCATCAAAACAGGGTTGTATACAATAGATTTGAATATGCTCTATGTATAAATCTGTGATCAGCGACCTCTATACTACAACATATTGCATATTTCTTTGTCTGTCAATGACTTCTGGTGAATAAATAAGTTAAAGAAAAACATATTTCCTTATTTGATGAAATACAATGGAAACCTCTTATAAGGATCACGTCTGTCTGGGTCAAACTGATCCCTGTAAGCAGATGGAGATTTTGTTTTTCTTTATTTTTCATGCAGATTACCATCTAATTGGCATTCCCCATTTACTGAATTGTATTGGCTTTCAAAATAGAGTACAGCTGCTTCAAGGGCGGCTTCAACCACAGGTGCTTTTGCTGGCACATTTGTTTTTCCGTCTCCATCACTGGCAGCCACGACTGTAGCCCGACAACAAGTTTCACCGCTGCATCTCGTTGACTCGTTATTGGCAGTTTGTCATAAGGTTCAAGCTGATTTTTAGCTTTTTGAATTGAGAGAAAAATTACTTTTTTATTTTTCTCATCTTGCTTTCAATGGGCATGCAGCCTCAGGTGGCCAGGTAGAAGTAAAAGGGTCAGGCAGAGCATCACGGGAGAATCATCATAGTTTTAACAATGTTTTCGATATTTAGATTAGACCCAAAATAAACAGTAAACTGAGTATTTGATGAGCAAATTATTTAAAAAACAACATATACAGTATACTTAAATTATTTTCTACATATAGGGTTTTACACTTTTATAATTTCAAAGGGGTCTGTTAGATCCAAACAATGAAGGAGTATGGACAATATCAACGAAACACAAGGGATTAAGAATTTTATGAAAAAGTGTGCAGATAATCTCTAATCTCTGGACTGAATTTGAATTTAAAAACCCTTGCATCACTATAGTAGGTATGAAAAATGTATGTCAAGGTATCAAATCATATGGAAAGGTCAAGTAAAGAGAGGGTGTCACACCCCCCCTACACACACCTTCACACTCCACTCTGTACTTATACTATTAGTACGTTCCCTAAAAAAAGAAAATACTAAATGCTTTAATATAATAGAAACCATAGTGTAGCTCATATCAAACCCATTACTTTTATCTCTGGTTGTGAATACAATGCTTGAGGTCTTTTGAGGCTTGAAAGGTTCTCTGAAAGGAGGTTTATCTTAAGTACATCCTACGTGCTAATTCTCACTGCAGTCTGGATGTGTTATGCATTAAAATATCCTCAAACAGAATACGTCAGGATCTCGCAGCACAAATGAGCGCTTGCTGAAATATTCAGTTGATACAGCCCCCCTGTCTGATTGGCCAGGCTTCGATTAGATACGAGGATTCCCCAGGTGAGTATCAACCCCAGTTCCACATAAACAGGAGGTAAAATGAGAAGTCAACATTATTTAGTCAAATAAAAGGCAGAGATTAAAGACACGTTGGCAGCCAAGTGTGGGTAATTGATTTATAATTGATCAACGGTTGTGCGGAGCAGTGGCCACTGGAGAGATGGGGCCAGTTTCTGCTACAACCTCTTTGCTTTCCTCGCGAGAACACTTAATATGAGCAGCTCTATTCTCACAGCGGTTATTTAAACTACAGCTATCAATAGGCGCCACAGAAATCTGATAGATAGAATATGAGCAAAACAACACTCTCCAATCCCTGCCTGATTAAATGAATTGTCAAAGCAATGAAAGTGATCTATGATGCTAAGGTGAATGTGTAAAGTGCCATAAATCTCTTCTTTGTCCTACCTTGAAAAGGTCAGCATTTGCTAAGATGAGTCCAGAGACATTGTTTTATTTCACAGAAATAAAAGTGAAAAGCAGAAGACACGGTTTCTGCATTACTGCTGCTCTCTCCTTAATGAACGGCGTTCCAGCACAGAGTGGAGGGTGAAACCAAGGTGAATGTACATTCACAATTATCTAATGCCGTTTGAATAATTAGCAATTATTGTCGCAGGATTCACCAGTAAAGATTGCAAACTGGCAACAGGCCATTGGAAGGTTTTCCTGGGCCGGTTGATTGGTCAGTGACCCAACATGGTGAGGACCTCAAACATGTGGCGTTACAATTATACATCATTTCCCCTTTTTGTTGACGTAGGCTTCTTGTTTTTGCGGTGAAGACGTGCGATCAGTTGATAATGCTGCAGAGAGCTTTCCACTAAGGTGGTAACAGAATACTATAAAATACATAACAGTGAGTTGTAGAAATGATTTTGTCTTTTTGGTAGGCTTTTTTGAAATTCCCTCCAGCCTTGTGGTGGACAAATTAATATTTTTTACTCAATGATTGATAAGAAAAGAAAAGATAGAACCTTTTATCTTATTGCTAAAAATTACAACATAAGAATAAAAGCCACAACAGAGTAATAACGATAAAGTATATAACAATATTAACGTCAAAATAGAATAGCAATAAAAGTAACAACAAAAATATAAAGGTATGTAAGTAATATTGAGCATGATGTGGGAAACTAAAATTGCCCAATGTCGAAAAACTAATATTGCACATGATATCGTTTTCAATAATGATTTCATTGCACTTCCAATGGCGTGAGATGCAGAAGAGACGTAAAAAAAGAACAGTTAGAAATGCAGCATCCTACATTTTCAATCCAAGTCAATAGCACCTTATCGGGAAAACAGGATTCCTTTTCAGACCTTGGAAAGCTTCCTCCGAAGATATACAACTGGTTTTAGGCTGAATACTTCTCAGCATGATAAGCAGACTGTAGTTCATGTGTAAAGTCGATGGAGAGCTCCTCTGAGCCACATCTATTGTTCTGGAAATCATTACACACCACAACACTTTATAGTATATTCTCATAAGCAAAGCCACCCTTGCACAATGTCTCTGTCTGCGTGCTGTGCACAGAAGACAGAGCGATAATGCATTTCATGGAATACCTACTGTTGGCTTGGTTGATAGCATTCCAGGCTCTACAGTTTGTCTGTATCAACATTATACAAATCCAATCATCACCCAGCGACTTCACAAACAACTTGGTGAAGAGTCAAAGCAAATCTGTACAGCACTCAAGAGTTATTGTGGAGTTTGTGGCAAAATCAAATGGTAAGAAAAGGGTGTGACAGCGGGAGCTGCTACTGCTTTCCAATTCAAGTGCTTTTCAGTGTCTCTCTTGAAGCGAAAGAAATGTATCTTCTGCCAACTGCAAGAATTTGCAGATTTGTTGAACCAATCTTTACTTTCAAACAACACTTTGAAACATGCCAGCTTTGAGGACCAAATTACCTCTGTCTTGGACATACAAAGGGCTTTGTGTTGTTGTATTTTTTCTCCTCCAGCAGCCATCTAATTATTGGCAGCAGTTAGGCAGTGTAGTACACCAACTGGGATTTTAATAACAGTTGAGTCGCCAGCTGTGAACTATTAGGAAATGATGGTGATGACCAGCAGATTGAGAAATCAAATTCCCAAGAAACAGGCAGTGATCCCTCCCATACAGCTGGCCGAGATAATAGCTTGTTTCCAGTTTGAATGTGCATGGTGTTGCTCCTGACCCAGCAGTACAACTGTGATATGATGATTGGCATTGACCTCCTCAGATGCTCGAGAGAGAATCTAGTGCTTATTGGCATTGAAAGTGTAGACGGATTTACTCACCCTGTACCAAACAATCTCTCGAAGCCTTCCGTCAGTTTTGAAGTTACACTTGAGAGTAACAGTCTCTCCCACGACAACAGGAGGCAGGGGCTCTATGGTAACTGTCAAATATCCTGGAAAACAAAACAAAACAGTGGAAAAGAGTTTAATTACAGTCGTATACCGTAAAAACACTTTGCTTAAACAAGATACATGTTGCTGCTGTTTTTCTTTGCTGCTAAGGTAAATGTTAAACAACAGCAATAAAGCAGTCATGAATTTACAGAATATGAATCATTACAAAAAAAGCCAAAGATTGACTGACTGAGTCTGCCTTCTCTTTTGGAATAATGCCATGATTCATCTTTATGCAATTACACAAGCAGCACTGTCCCACATGGGGGTTAAGTATCTTGGTAAATAGCACTTCAGTTGCAGTTACTTAAGGGGCTAAGAGTGTTCACTTTTCACAATTTGTTGAGATTGAAACAAACAAAACCAGAATTACAGTGCAACCCTTTCTCTAATCTCTACCTTGAACACTATGCACCATGGCAGCTCTTATAGCAGTTATTTCTCAACAATAAGCAGTTATATGTATTCTGTTTTGTCAAATTCAAAATCCATCTTCCTTGAAACAGACTACTGTGTGGGATCTGCATGATTGAATGTTTAACATAGCTGCTTCTGGCATTTCTATAGAATTCATCCTGCATGTGCTGTTTAAGCTCAAGTTGTTTGGCCTTGGATGAACATGCACAGTCAATACACATCCCAGAGAAAAGGCATTTGAACAGCATCAATATTCTAACAATTGTTGTAAATAATGTTTTTCATTGTCAGTAAATATAAAGAACGTGTGAAATGTCGGATACAAAAATGCTTGTATGAAAATGTATTTTAAAGGGTAATGCTGCCATTGATTTTGGCAATACCATAATTTGTATGCAAAATCAGAGAATACACTTTTGAATAAGTGCCATGCAGTACACTACCTGCAGCTTTCTTATTGTCAAATAATTCAGACTTTTGTGATTATAGTCATGAATACAGAACAGCAAATCACCCATACAAATAGACAACAGACACGAAGTGAAGGGGCCATCACATGAAGACGGTATGATGGATACATTCAAGTGGAGGCAATGCATAACCTAACATCTGGGGGTGCTCAATGTATGGCCAAACATGCATACATTTTATCCATCTATTTTACATACAAGTGAAAAGGGCATTGTTTCATAATGCTACCACCCTGGCGAGCAGAGTGAGCCAGCGATGCTGCGTGGGCCGACTTCCACTGACAGACAGCAACCCTCTGCCTAACATAATAGCTTGTTTCAACACATTCAGTATTTAATGAGGGCATTGGATCTTGTGAAACAGATGGATATGACTGTAAAAGTATAAAGCCGGGTATAAAAGGACCTCATGACCAATAATTGTGTTGGTAAAAGAACATACACTACTATGAGGGCACCAGTGTCTCACAGAACATCGAGAAGCGATCACTGCAAAGAAAGAAAGGACAACTAGAGGTAAAGACCGATGTAGCCTTGGTTTGCAATACAGTTCTAACTCGAGGCAAATGACCAACTAAACATGGGAGTGCTGCTGACAACACAGGCTGAACTCCTATAATTTGGTATGACAGGCACCAGAGTCAATCATGATCACATAACCAGTGTTGAGCAAGTTACTTTCAGAATGTAACATGTTGCATTACAAGTTGCTTTCATTTAAAAGTAATACGTTATTTTATATTATTACTGTCTGTGTAGAGTCATGCATTGCTAGCTACACTACTTCTGCATTACTTTCACCATTACTTGTTAGGTTGCAGTGGGAACATTGTGGTTCAACACATTACATAATAATCCAAAAGTATACATAGCTTCCTAAACAAGCCAAAATTATTATTACTAAATGGCGACTCCGTCCTCCGTGATAACATCAGGTTAACCCAAATCATATTTGTTTAACTGCCGCTAAGATGACCATTATACACTTATGGTTCTCCCTCTGAGCCTCCATCCATAAAATAATGGTTGAATCATTTTAGCGATATTGCCGTCATAGAAAGATCATTAGTTGTAATTCATAAAGCGTGGGTATCCACTGTAGAGGCCCGGGATGTCCTCATTGGTTCTCTTTCAAATACCCATTTTCTTACATAGATATGTGTCACTTCAATAGCATGTAAGAAGACCTATATACAAATTAGCATGTGTCGGAAAATGTAATATATTTTTTTGTATTTAATTGAAATTGTATTTAATTTGTATATAATTGTTTTGTTTTTTTTTACTTAACTTCTGAGTGTTATTGTTTATTTATTACATTTTTTTGCAAGGCAATGGTGATATGTATAAAGTTAGCGTTAAAGTGGCAATCTTGAAGATTTTCATTATAACTTGGAGCTCATGTATCAACAAAGGGACTTTACTCTTTCTCACTCAAATATAAATAGTGAATCAACTCGGACTGAAATTTGAAGTATTGCCACTTTGAAAACGTTTGTCTGTGCAAGAATCTATGTTGTCTTTTTTACCTCGTGTAGGATTTTCATGGTGAATAAGAAGCTAATAAAAGAAAAAAATAAATATGCATTACAAACTGAATGTACAGCAAATACAAAAGTGCACATTTTAGAACATGACTTGACAATACAGCTGTGGATTTGTGTGGCAGAGCAGAGGGGAATAATCAGCACCAAACGACGCGACTGAAAGAGAAATGCATTACGCTGCAGAATTCAGAGTCACTTGCCTTTTAATAAAGAGTTTTCGGGTATCTGGCTTAGTAGACACTAGATCAGAATGTCTCTCATGTCAGCGCACCTAGATATGCTTATTAAAGAATCTTAATTTAATCAGCAGGCAGAAGAGATCTTCTCTCTAGAGTCAAATTGAATGAATAAACCTTTCCACCGACTGCATGTCATTAACACAGAGCTGATGCTCTTAGAGCAAATCCCAACCACTTACGACGAACCCACAAGAGGAGCAGCCTGGCATTGTAAATGTCTGTGTGAGTTTTCCAGAGAGGTGGAAGGACATGTATTTCACAAGTTAAAAAACTGCCTCTGTGGAATACAGGGTTAAGGAGACCAACGTGTGCCTTGCCTAGTGCAGGTTATATGTAGTTATAGGTTGTAAAATATTTCATCCAAATTCTAGATGTGCTATCCACTGTATGAATTGTACATTTCTTGCACTTATAAAAAATAATTCAACATTCTGTAACATAGCAAGTCATTGCTTGGTGGTCTTGTTGTGTGGTTGCGGGGATTAATTGTGAACAATTCATTGACTATGTGGCACAGAGGGAAGTATAGCATGGCCAATGACAGCAAAATGCTCCGGAGCGTGTGGGGAGGGATGAGGAGTTTTTAAAAGAGCAAATTACATGGGTTATGCACTCATGCCAGGGAAGTTCACATTTCAAATAATCCCTATGAGAAACTGGAGCAGTTGCAGGCTGCACATACCAAGACACGAGGCAATTCAATATCCATCGAATGCCAACCATATGACTTCATAAATGTGGCACTTTTTATTTGCCAAGTCTCTGTTGAAAGTCTTCCAACAAGCAAATATCTCTTGTTATGCCTGACGCCCTTGTTAAAAAAATGGGCTAATGTGGGCCACATTCGCGCAGCAAAAATCAACACTCTGCAAGTGTTTACGTATGTCATCACCCAACGGAGATAATTCAACACTTGTGATCATTTAGACAGCTGCCCCAGAGGAGTATCGGCTCTGAGTGGACACACAAAGTCTCCAATTAGCCCTCGTCAACTCAAAATCTTGAAAAATCTACATTTAATCTGTGCGAGCGCTCACAAACAATATGGCAGGTTATTAGTTTTTCCAACCAACAGTGATGCCGCCTTTAATTAAATATAAATCACACGGCACAATCCCTCCGTTGTTTATCGCACTCTAACACGTTGCTTTGATTCCAACATATTTAAATTTTGATCAAAAAGGAAAAAGGCCACATTTATTTTCCTTCATGTTGCAAGCCGCAGTAAAACAAAACCATCAAACAACAGCTTTAATTTAGTCAGATCGCTTTAATTTATGTACTATGTACTTTATGTATCAATGTACTGACTGAATAAATGCTTGAAACTTGTCTTCACGGCTTTTATTTGACTTCAATGTGTCGTCTAACTGTCAGGGGAGAAGTGATTCTGCTTTGAATCAATGAAAAGAGCAATCCATAAAGCAGTGTTTTCTTTTTTTTCTCTTTTTTTAAAGAATGTGTATTCATTTAATAGACAACACTACGAGGAAACATTACTTGGGTGTCAGGCTGGATATAACCAGTAAGCTCTAACAAGTAATGTCTGGCACCGTGAACACCTTCGGTTTAGCTGAGCTTAAACTCAACAGACAGTGAGACTTACATCCTGTTTTCATGCTAACGCTGCACAATATCGATACTCCCTCTGTTATGAGCCCTGCATTCGAAGGAAGCCTCAGGTATATTCACGCAGTGCTTCACAGCCACCTACCCACGAGCTTCTTCTGCATGAATCAGACGCTCTGCCTTGAAATCTTAACACTCCCAAACACAGTGGGTGACTCTCGCGTCGCGGGTAGAACCAACAGCTTGTGTCACAAATAGCTCCAATTACTGAGGGGAGAGATTAGAAAAAAAAAATGTGGTTGAAGATTTGCAACTTCCTCGATCAAAGGGAAATGTTCAGCCTCCTCAGAGAAACCAAGTGATTTTAAAAGGGACATAATTTATTATCATGGAATGTAAGGGTAAGCATACGGTTCCGCAGCAAATCTTTGAAATAAATCTGCTTGTCTCGAAACTAAAATCCATTTGGCCAGGAAGCTGAATGCTTGCACATCCTTGTACGAGCACATAAGCAAGTGCAGAGTGGCCAGAGAGTGCATGGCATTTAATTGGCTCGTATTAGCTGGTTGCATCTGGCTTGTCTTAATCCATCAGAGGCGCTGTTGGAACAACATCTAATGAGGGCTGCATACTATGCTTTCTCCCATTAATAACAGCAATTTGCCAAGATGCAATGAGAAAACAAAACACAGCCAATGATGGACCGGCCCAAAATGTGCCCATTATTGTGCACTGTGATTTATGGCGGTGGCCTACC